TGAATTATGCCAAAGCAAGGTCATTTGGGGTTTTGATTCACAGCTCTTGACTTACTTCCAAAATTGTCATAATTTGGAAAGAATAAAAAAAAATAATTCTAAGAGTAAAAATAAAAAAAACATATCAAATGGCTTAAAGGAGAAATCTTTCTACTACTTTTCACTGGTCTGTGTAGGGCTAACTACACAGGGGAAGAGAAAAGCCCCACTCCTCCTTGAAATGTTGGCTGCAGGATGAGGCACAGACCCCTGTGAGGAGGGTCAGCCAGCCCTAGAGCAAGAGCATTTGATTGCAGGGCAGTAGTGGATGTTTTCCCTTCCCTCTCACAAGGAAGATGTTTGTTACTAAATGTACTGCTCTTAGCAATACACATAACTTTTTGGCTGAAAATGAAAGGGAAGATGCTGCAGCACCCTGTCCTGATCACCAGTTATGTTGCTGTCAATGGAAGTTTCACAAGAGACTGATGAAGCCAGGGTTAGACCTTTGATCTTTTTGCTCCTGGTATTAGTGCCCTCTGGCTCTACCAAATCAGGCTGATGTAAAAATTAGAGGGAAACCTGGGAAAAGACATAGCAAGTAGTGTTAAAGCCATCCACAAGTTTAGCACATCTTTATTCTTAGCAGCAACCCCAGGACTAAGAAAAGGGTTTTTGCTCCTTCTCTTCTAAGCAGCAGCTCCGTGGTTGCACGATGAGGTGGATGATGTGGAAAGTGTTTTCCTAATAACGAGGGCAATTAGCAATCATGCAGAATTTCTCGAAAGAGGAAGGATGTCTTAAGCTAGTTCTAACCTGCGTAATTTCCCCTTGAGCGCTCAGTTCCACATAAATGTTCAACCACAGTCATACAGTATCCCAGTCGCCTCATAGCCTAATTCTTGTGACCAGTGGTGTGCTTCACTGGTCCTTGAGCATGGTCCGGCTCTGTACATGCCCTAGATTATCCATCATGACAGTCCATGCCTTGGGTTTTTCCAAAACCTGCTTGATTTGTGAGATAAAAGTGTAAAATACTATTACTGCAACAGTAGGATTTTGTTGCAATCTCGAAAAAACAGTAACAAAAAGGACACGGGGTGAGCCAGTTGTTTTCTTGATTTTAGGACAAACTATAGAAAAATGTAAAAACACAATTAAAATGAGGGTTTCTTAAACTAGCCTAGAGGTGAACAATAATTTAATATCTTACCATAAGATCTTAGGTACCTGTCTCCCTGTTCAATGGATGCTCTATCCCACATTGCCCTCTAGTGAGGACATTTTGGAGGGAATGATGCCTTCTCCCTTGCAGGCACCGGGATATGAAATGGAGTATTTTAATAGCTGAGAGCACAGGTTGTTTCTGAAGTGGAGGTTTGCCTTGCGATGAGAATAGTGTGAGGAGGGGCAGCATCCACCTGCCTCAGGTGCCGGTGTGTTTCCCTGCTCTGGCCACAGCTTTCATGCCATCTGCTTTTTGTGTGAGCTAACTGCCTCCACAGGCATCTCCCTGCTTCTGGTGGATCACTAGCCAAAGCTCTCTTCTGCTTTGGGAAAAGGGGACAATATTCCCTGGGTTCTTTTGGTGAAGGGTGATCTTTCTCCATGTTCTTTGTCTTACCCTTTGCTCCATGGAACACGCTTCATTTCTGTGGTTTTTCCTGTATGCACATGATCTGGCAACCCTGCCTTTGCTTTGGAGGTCGTCATGGGACAAAACTTCTGTCCCCCTTCAACCCAACGCTGGTACATCCAAAGGTGGTGCCTCGGTCCTTGTCCTTCTGCCTGCTTAGCTGCATGAGCCTGCATCAGTGCCAAATGACAATTTTGGTGTGTTCCCAGTTCTCCAGAGCTGTTCAACACCTCCAGAAAATCCTCAACCAGCAATAGGTTCAGAAAGAAGCAAGGAAAGCAAGTATCATCTGCTTGTGGAGAGCAGGTCATGCCTGATTCATCCTGTCCTCAAAGTCTCCAACCAGCCCTGCGGTGCCCAGAGCTGCAGAATTTGCCCTCTCATGGGTTGTAGGTGCCCTGAATCAGCTGTCTGTGGCCACACAGTCCTTTTGCTTGCACACACAGGTCCCATGTGGTCAATGGCACAGCAGTTCAGCGGCCCCTTGGCTCCTTGGTGCCTGAGGGATGCGCGGGATGCTTTGGTGCCTGCAGCAACCTTCCCTTGGAGAGGGTCATCCTCGTGGATGAGAACCCTCAGGCAGCTCTGGAGAAGCAGGTTTCTCCACCAGTGCCTTCTGCAGTGCTGGGTACCAGGGTCAGGGCTGAGGAACCAGGACTGGGAGAGATGAGGTGCTCAGGTCTGCTTGGGTTTTCTTTCTCCTTACTCCTTCTAGGGTGGGAGGAGTAAGAGCAGAGCAACGTCCAGAGTATTGCAGAAATCCAAGGGCTCCTCATCCAAAACATGGACTCAATTTGTCACTGCCCCAGGCACTGCTCCAGGCGACATGAGGCCCAGTGTGTCCTTATGTGCTTGACCATAATTACATAGAAATGTATAATTAATGTTCAGTCATCAAATATTAACCTGGTCTTTGATTGTTGGCTTGTTCATCAGAGTAATAGCCATGGCCGTTCCTCTGCTAGACGCTGTCTGTTTAAACTCCTCTATTAAAAACTCAATAGTTTTAGGACTGTTTGTTCTAAAAGCTGTGATTTCCCGCATGGACCCAGCTAAAGGGCACAGCCTGGTTGCACGGGTGGGTGAAGGCATCACTACGATCCTCCCAGGGGTGAAGGCATCACTACGATGATGGTGTTTGGGGAGCTGGGGTGGGCTGCACTGTCACCCAGTCACTCCACATGGCACTCATGGGTTCAGTGACAGACACTAATGCCATCTAGTGACCAAAAAAAAATACACTGTAGGTATTTTATAAAATGCCATTGGAAGTTTTATAGCCCCAAGTGAGGCAGGCCTTGGGGCTGGGAAGGAGGGAGATGGTGCAGGGTGTGCTGGGAAAAGAAATCCTTTTTCCCTCCTCTCCCAAGCTAATTCTTCCCTCATTTCACATCCCATGAAGTGCTTCTGCTGGTGACCAGGGACTGGCATCTCCCACGTGAGGCTTTATAGATCCCTGGGGGAGCAAGGCACAGGCTTCCTAAGCTGCTCTGTTGGTTGAGGAGCACAAATTCCCTGACTTCCTGCTGGATCGTGGAGCACAAACCCAATCCCTGGGGACAAGGTGACTGCAGGAGGGGAGATGGCTTGCTCCACTCCTGGCATGGACATCATGGGCAGAGGGACCCTGGGGACTGATGTAGCTGGCAGCACGGGCTGTGACATGGTGCCGATGCTGCAGCTTTGAGCGGAGCTGAGATGGGGTGAGGGCTGGCAGCTTCTGCCACTGTCCTGACAGCTTCTGCCACTGTCCTGACAGCGGTGACTCGTTACCACGGCTCATACAACCTGACACTTTTTTCCTCCCACCACCTTTGTTTCTCCTTCTTGCTTCTGTAGGTGGTAGCCGTGAAGGCATTAACGCCCTGAGTTTCTGTGCGAGTGGCTGGCTGGACACACCTTCGTTCTGTACCTTAATTAATCCAGCCAAGTCACGGTGCCACAAACCTGGAGGAATTAGTTTGCTCTCTGCGTTTTAAAAATAAAGGTGAAGTTGTTTCTGCCCATACCTCATTATTCTGCTTGGCTAAGCTGCCATCGGCAGGTGCGGTTTGCCTCGTGTAGGCTGGTGGTCACCTGGGAATATTTTGCAGCTTTGATCGTATCTCCAACTCCTGAGAAATGCACAGAGAGAGAGAAAGAACTTGGGAATTAAAAGTTTCCGGTTAAGGAACTTGAGGACTGAGATAGCTGTGATGAAGTGCATTACAAATGTACCGAGATGCCAGGTGGCAGCTCCAGAGAGATTTGGAGAGAGATGTGGGATGTAGCCCACTGTTGAAGGACAGCAAGAAAAGTACCCAGATGTGAATAAACATCTGGGACATTCCTGAAGTGCAGAGACACCAAGACTGGTGCTGGCACATCCCCGGCCGAGGGTCCCAAAGAGCCACCCCCTCACCACACACATGGATCTATCACCAATGCTTGGACCCAGAGCAAACGAACAGTTGCTGCTCTGTTCTGTGCTGCTCAGACCTGCTTGTGGTTTTCTTTTTGGAAAGCCATTTACAAGGGCCCTTGGGGAATTCTTGTTGTTTTCCTATCCCAAATGTGAAGGTGCCAAATATGTTCCTATTGTCTAACTTACAAATGTTGTGTGTTATCTTTGCTGCTTCTTTTTCTGGATTATCCTTGTGTCCCCCTGCCTTTCTGCCCTGGATAATTGGGAGCTGGCAGTGTGCCTGCAGCGTGCCTGTTTCAGGGCCAAAATGGGAGTGAGAATAAACGCTTCTCAATATTGTGTTGAAACAGATAAGTAATTTACTTATAATAGCTCTTCGCCTGGCATTACACTGGCAATTTCATGCAGGTTTTGCAGGAGGAGTGAGCAGTTGTGAGAGGCTGGGAGAGCTGTGTCCCATGGGGAATATTTGCCGGGTGGGTATGATGGGGAGTGGGGCTTCACGCGTTTGGAAGAGCTGTCCTTTGCGTAAAGGGACTTCTCCAGCAGTCTGTGACAACTCTGCATTTCATAGATTTGCTGGCCCTAAATTCTGCAAATATCCCAGGAATTTAGCTGTAGGTGGCAAAGGTAGAGACTTCCCCTGGGGGTAGAAGGCAGGTCCACTTTACCTTATGCTTTTGAGTAAGACATCTTTCAGAGCAGCCAGCCAACCAAAACACAGTGTATGTCCACACCGTCTTCTCAGCTCAATAGAAATCCTTCAGCATTATCACAGCTCCATCTATTCTTTTCCCTGAAGAGAGATGGAAAAGCAAAAAGCATTTAGGGTGCTCTTTTGCCTGAAGCACTCCACACAGAGATCTATTCCTATCTATTTGACATCAGTAGGGCAACAGCATCTTGCAGGAGACAAGCAGAACAACTTGGAATGAATAACCTGAGCCTGGTACTAATTTTCTCTTTTCTCTCTCCTTGTAGGGATCCTGTTTACGATGTTGGTATTTGGACCAGCCTGTGGATTTATCTTGGGCTCCTTCTGTACCAAAATCTATGTGGATGCTGTCTTCATTGACACAAGTAAGGAGAACTGGGTTTGGTTTCTAATTATGTTAATGTTCTACCAGCAGGGCAAAAATGTTGATGCTCGCAAGCTGGAAACTGCTTCTCATTTCACCTTGAATGCCTTTTGCATGTGTGGGTCTCACTTTGAGAGGGGTTTTATGACGGGGATTCAAAAGTTTTCAACTCTGTCCCAATGGATAACAGGTTGATAGCGGCTAAAATGTCTTCCCTTCTGTGGGCTTTTCTACTGCGAGATGAGTTTCAGCCCAGTTGTTAGAGGACAACTTGAAATATCACTGTGGCAGGACACACCAGCTAGCCATGGACATAGGGGCTGTTTTTCTGTCGGGTTCTCACAGGCTCCTATGCCAGGTGAGCTGTGTTCAGAGCACAGGATGAAATCTGGAGAGCTGCTATCCCTAGGACCTGGGGGGACCATCCAAGCTCTCTGATGAAGACACACCAGTCAGACCCAAATGACCCTGTTTGGATGGACAGGTTCAGTCCCACAGCTTTATTGCTTTTTCCCAATGCAGTACTAATTATTCCTCACTTTTATTCGGCACCTGGGTTAAAGCAAATTGTTTGCAGATTGTCTTTTTGTTTATTAAGAAAAAATGACAAATTCTGCTTTTCTTGCAATCTGCACTACGTGCTCTTTGCCGTTAGAGGGCAATGTGTAACAGGCTGTTCTCCACCGCTCCCCAAGCCCTTTGGCCATAGACTGCAAACTGATGTTTCGTTCTTTTCCCTCAGTTGTTCAGATGCGTTTTCTACAGCTTTCAGCTCCATCTGATCCCACAGGCTCTCATCCTGCTGCAGGGATGTTGTCCCCTTTGAGGGTGTGTTCCAGTGGTGTTGCAAATACATCTTCACAGGATGCGTTTGGATGGAGTTGAACCTTGCAGGAACAGAGTCAGGCAAATCTGGAAAAGTGCAACTGCCCTTTTTTGGTTTTACATGCACTTGGCAGCCGTAGAAATCTAAATACTATCAATTGAGCAGAAAAGAAGTATCTTTTTTGATGGCTGTGACTTGGTGAAACACCACACTGTCCCAGTTCATTTCTTGGCTTTAGCAAAGATATGCCAAAGACTCACTTGGTCCTGTAGGCAGAGGAGCTTGCTTGAACCCCGTTAAATATTTGACCATTAAGTATAATTCACTCTGAAATATGAATGCGCAGGGTGTTATAAGTTTGAAAATGGGTTTGAAAACAATTGCACAAGTTTATAGAAGAAGACATGAACGAGACACCAAATCTAGCTTAGAAATCCCCTGAGCCATAAATTTCCAGAATTAAAAGGAATAATGTCAGGAACACAATGACTTTATTCTTGTGTACTTTTCTGGACATCTGCAACTGGTTACTATCAGAGGCAAGATGCTGGCCTAGCTAAAAAAAGTTAAATTGATTGTGATCTGGCCATTCTTAATATAAGACATGACTCCAGATTTACATCTCAAAAAGCCCCAGACAAATACAAACCAACAGAGGAGAACGGTGGAGCGTTATTGCTGAGAAGCCTGGAGGGGCTGTGGCTCAGCAGGCCGTAGGGAGGGTATCGTTCTTTCCAGCTGGCTTTGGCCATGGTCCATCACTGTCATGCAAAGGATGGGGCACGCATGGCCTCTGTCTATTTTTGTGTGGGAAAGAGTTCCCTCGCAGCTCCAGGTGGCATAAGGAGACCGAGCTCCAGAGGGTGAGCCCTGTCCTGCTCCCTGTTTTGGGCAGGAGGTGCAGGGTGCCAGGGCGTGCTGCTGCACTGCCCTCCATACAGGACCTATTTTAGGAAGGGGATATGAGGAAGACCTTGGTTCACATGGTTCTTGACTTGGCCGTGCTCCCAAGAGCCTGAAAAAAAAGATTCACTTCAGGCAGGAGGAAATAACAGCAGAAGAATCCAATCCCTCCAAAACACTGTTTTTCAAACTTTGTATATATTTGAGAGCTGCGTGTTATTTTCCCTGAGGAGAAAAGAGTTTCCTTCCATCTCTGCTTGAGAGACAACTTGATTGCCTCACTTGAGACAGATTTTTCAGAATGGCAGTAACCAGACAGGCATCATGAGTGGAGGGAGCTTGTTACTCCTGCCACATGGACCCCGGTCTCCCTCAGGACTCAGCTCTGTGCTGGGCACCCTTTGCCAGCTCTCGTGAGGTGGCTGATAGGAACACAGGTTCTTCTCGCCTACTTATTTTTATTCCCCCCAAAGCTCTCCAGAGCCTTCTTTTTCCTTATCTCCTCTGAGTGATGGCCTACAGGATACTCTTGCCTTTTAGTTCGCTTTACTTCATTTTTCTGGTAACATCTCTGCCTTTCTGAGCCCATTTGATTCAGTGAATGGTTGTTTTTTTTCAATATTTAGGACTCTTTCACCCTCAACACAGTCACAGTTGCCCATAAAGCCCAAATGCCCATTTCTCCTTTGCTGGGTTGTGGAGAAAATAAGGGAGAGCTTTGATCTCCTGGAAGCAAAGGGCAAACCAGGATGGAGATGCAATGTCCTTGTCTGTGCTGCTGCTTCTCCATGCACGTCTTTGTGCTAGTAGGTATGTCAGCTGTGTGGGCACATGTGGCACACTGTGACAGTGATGTCCAAAACCCTCATACCAGCAGATGGGACATGGACAGGTATACAGCAGCTTCAAAGAGCTGGGAAAACCAAAGACACTGGGGAGAAGCTCTGATTACAGGGTGTTGCAGATGCCACACGTACCATCTGGATAGGTGAGGTGGGAGGTTACTTCTCCAAAGGACCTCTTGGATGTGGAGGTCATGACATACTGGTGGCTCACATGGTATGGGTGTGGGATGCGCTGAGGTTCTCCACCTTGTGTCTGGGAGCCCCTCCCCAGCCAACACAACCCCCAACAACCATCTTACAGCCTACAGGATCATTAACTCTACTGCCTTCCCCTCCCCGCAGCTGAACCACTGACTTGTGTGTGTGTGTGTGTGCCCTTGCAGGTAAGCTGGACATCACCCCGGACGACCCCCGGTGGATCGGCGCGTGGTGGGGAGGCTTCCTGCTGTGTGGTGCCTTACTCTTCTTCTCGTCCCTGCCGATGTTCGGGTTCCCTCAGTCCTTGCCCCCGCGGCCGGAGCACGCCGGGGAGAGCGAGCAGGCCATGCTTCCCGAGAGGGACTACGAGAGGCCCAAGCCCAGCAACGGGGTCCTGCGGCATGCACTGGAGGGGGAGAGCAGCACAACCTGCTTCCAGCAGCTGCGAGGTGACACACTGGCTCTTGTCACATTTTCTGTGCAAGTCAGCAAGAGATTAACAGCTGGTTGGACTTATAATTGGTCTCTGATTTGGGCCATCTACCTCTACCCCCAAAAGAATCCCCCAAACCCCTCAGTATCCTGAAATTTCAGTCCCCAGCTTCTAATTATCTCTGGCATTGTCCTCATTTTAAAGAGAGACTTTGTTCCACTTGAAAGGTTTGGGTTTTTTCTAAAGTACAAAGCTTCAGAAATGTGCGGTAGTCCTGTAGAGTTGATAAAAAAAAAAATGGAGAACATAGTTGCCAAAGTAATTTGTGAACTTCTCTCCAGTCTACTGTCCTCCTCCCCTCTGCCTCCCGAAACGGAGAGCGAGCCAGCAAGGGCAGTTAAAAGGAATTGGGAGCTCCTGGCATCTGAGCTGCAGCTTTGTGCTATCCCAGATAGAAAGCAGCGAGGCTGTGCAACGCTGCAGCTCTTAAACTGGGATGGGGAAGAGGTAGATACCAACCCATAATAGCAGCCAAGGGGCAGGGCAGAATGTGGGTTGTAGCAAATTCGACTAGAAAACCCCACATCGTGTCCTGCAGTGATGGAAATGGACCTGGCTGTAATTAAGGTCAGTTAAGGATCTGACATTTTGTGGGAGAGTGTGGGCAGATGTCCTTTCCATAGGCTGCACTAGAAAATCCTTCATCTGAGATGGTGCTCCTGGAGCACTGGTGGGGGCTTCCCACTCTCTGTCACTGTGGCAGCGCAGGTTTTATTACTGCCTAATGCATTTTGATAAATGAGGACAAAATCAGTTACTCCCTGTTCAGTCACCTTAATTGGGAATTGAATGAGGTGCGGGTGGGAAGAATGAAGAGACTTGGAGGAAAAAAGTGTTTTCTTAAATATAAAAATGCCTTGAGTAGTTGATGTGGTTGTTCATTAAGGGAAGGTCAAAGATGTGAAATTTTGACTTGATGAGGAAATTCAAAAGAGAGGTAAAGAGATAAATTGTTTGAAAACTTGTCAGTAAAATTAATTTCTTCATCCTTGTTGCAAGGATTTTCTCAGGTTTGAGGAATGGGCGTTTCCTGTGGTATGTCCACCTGTATAATTCTGTGGCTTTCGTTATGGACTCATCAGAGCACCTGCTTCTGGCCACTGAGTTTTTGGAATAGACACTGGAAATTTTTGCAGGTTTTCATATAGAAAAATGAAGGAACATGACATGTCCCTGCTGCATGGAGAAGCAGCAGTTCTGCCTGAGGGTGGTGCTGAGCAAGCTGAGTTTCTTGCACTCAGGGAGGTCATAGGGGGGTTTCTAGAGCATCTATTGCTCACAGAAGTAGAGAAATTAAGCCGCCACATCTATATGCTTCAAAGTATTGATTACATCAGGAAGCACCACAGTCGTCCACGTTAGACTTCTCATTGCAGGTAACCCCATTTCAGATCAGTCAGTATTCCAGAGGTCTCTTTCTAGATGGACTTTGAAATACAATTTACATCACATCAAATAAGACAGGGAATGACCTTTTTAGTTATGCCTTTGAGGCTGTCACAGACGACACGGTGTTGGTAGCTGACATCTCCTTTGAAGTCCCTCGCCGTTATTGTCACAGTCAGAACGTGGTCAAGAGTCGTGTTTGCTCAGGTGCCTGCCTGGAGGAGATTTTTGGACACGTACCACAAGGGAAGGCAAACATGCCTCAGTGTTTAAGGTGGTGGGTTGATCTTGCTGTGTATATTCATTATTTTTCCAGCAGCAGAAAAACATATATGCGTTCCTACATGGCAGGACCTTGTATCCTTAGTCTGTTTGTTGATTGTGTAAAGTTTCTGGCTGAACTGAGTCACCTTTTTGGCTGTTGAAGGGTTTTGATGGTTTTTATTTTTATTTTATTGTTTTCAAGCCTTGCAGTGACTGTTGCAGGTGAGCGGACGTGGCAGGGGAGGAAGCGGGGTGGTGTCAGCTCCCAGCTGGGTCACATCTGTCAGTGGTGACATGGCATGGCTGTCACCAGGGAGGATGCTTGAAATGCTACAAGATCTGCTGAAAGACAGTGAGATGTGGGGCTGGGTGAGATTCCTTGGCTTTCCCTAGCCCTAGCACACAGAAAAGCTAGGACTGATATAAAAGCAACCTGCTCAAAGTGTCGAAAGGTCTTTTCCATCTCTGTCAAGGTCTAAAGAGGAGGGAGGGCCCAGCTTTTGGGAAGCCACAGCATGGCTTCCCAAAATGGAGCCATATTGTCGTGCCAGGAAAAGAAGCATCCTTAGGAGGCACTTTGAACTTGAAATGAAAACTGTCCCTTTGACGGGCAGGAGGTGGAGAGGCAATCAAAGGCAGCAGAGGCGGCGGGTGACTGCCACGGCAGCTCTGCTCAGGGGCATGGTGGCTCTGGCCAGAAAGCTTTTGGGACAGTCCTGGGAGGTGCCTACCGTTGCTAAACTGGCATATGAGTGCTGTACCACTTCACCTGATTAGTATTTCAGTTACGCAATGCAAATCCATTTGGGAGCGCAGGGAAGTGAAAGATTAATAGCAGGGAGAGGGTGGATAAACGCTGCCATTGCTCTTTGCTCTCGGCTGGCAGCCTGGCAGGGTTGTTCCAGCCCCACGCTCTCCATATGGTCTGTGAAAGTCCCCCCAGGCATGGACAGTGGCAGTCCTCGCTGTCCTGGGGACACAGCTTTGCTTTCCTACCTCTGGTCTGCCTTGGGCACCTCTCTGCTGTTGGGGGCCAGGGATGATGCTGGGCTGTGTCGGGGCGCTGTGCCCTCTGCTCCTTTCTGTCCAGCATCTGCCCTCCCGCTCAACATTAACACGCTGCCTCTAACCCACCACCTGCTCCAGGACGTGCTTGGAAATATTTTCTTAAAATAATTCTTTTTTTTGGTACAGACGCATCACGTCTACTGAATTGAGCGGTCAGTTCTGATGAAATTTGGTTTCAAAATGCTTCCTCGGCTTTATCTTTAACACCCCTGAAACATTCTGCTCCAAATGCATTTTGTTTTGCAATGATTTAAACCAGAAATTCATTACATTCTGCCTGTCTAGCGAGAGAGATTAAAAACCTAAAAGGATTGAAATTGATATGGAATCCTTCAGGTTTGGAGAGAGGAGCTCATTCACAAGGAATTAAAAGAAAACTCACTGTGGAATTAAATGAATTTCAAAACTGCAAATTCCCTAGGTTTGGAAACATTTTGGTTTCTGTCCAGCTTAATTTCCAAGAGCGTAGGAGAGCTGGGATGTACAGCTGACAGCTGTCTTGTCTTCTGTTCAGTTCCTTCCTGCTCTGTGTACCAATCTGCTGAATACCTAGAGAGGGAGCTGCTCTGAATCCTGGATTTCTCTCCCCGAAAGTGCTCTCTGGGAGCAGACACACAGTGCTGGGCCAGAAGCTCCCAGCTGTGCAGGGGAGTCCCGGGCCATGGAGAGCCTGTAGTCCTTGGTGGGAGTTCAAAGGATTAAGCATGATTAATGGCTCACATGAGTAGTTTTAAACTCCTGACTCTAACGAGTGATAGCCACAGCCTTTTGGAGAGGGCTCCATCTCTACCTCCTTCACAGCCAGAGTGGTGAGTCTTTGGCCCGGATGTAGATGGGTACCAAGACCTTAATGCCTTTTTGGATTTGGGGTTTGGCTCCCTACCATCATCTAAAAGGCTTGCTGAGAAATCCTCATCATAGGTAAGGGGATGGCGAGTGGTCATAAGAGCCCCACATCAGGTCCTGTCAGTCTCCGAGTTTCCTTTGGCTTGGATTTCTTGAGGCTATGGGCTTTGTTGGCAGGTTCTTCTTGGCTGTTCTGAAGCCAGCGTCCTTGTTATCAGAAGCTTTGATTAATTCAGAAAGGACTTCAGCCTTCAGGCTTTGGGGAAGGAGGTGAGCAGCAGCTGAGGTCAGGCAGACCGTGTCTGTCTCCAAAAAGATAGTGTGCCTTGCCATCACCTCCATGACAAGGGTGAGGGAGGTTTATGTCCCCCTCTGAAGCTGAGAAAAGGTGGTTGCTGGAGGCAAGATGATACGCTAGAAGGACCTGTTTTCTGTGAATGAGAATATTGCTGTTGCTTCAACCTTGTATCTGTCAAGAAGTCTTTTTCATGTACGTGTCATCCTTTTCCTTCATATCCTCTGTGATACTAATTTTGGCAAAGCCACGTGGACTTTGGCACATTAAACTCACCTGAGATATCTTCAGCACCTCTTGCCTTACTCCATCTTCTCTTTTGTAGGAGCTGCCTCTTTCCAGGAGGTATTTTCTTCTTGCTGCCTGTACTATTCATCCCCTATTCCTCAAGCCAGGTAGAGATTTTGCCTTTTGTGCTTCCTCAAGCCAGGTAGAGATTTTGCCTTTTGTTTTCCATTCACATCTGAGGCTTGCTGCCTCTGTTGCTATTAGAAAGTAGTATTTTGGCTCGACGCTACATTTCACCTTTCCCTCACCACGCTGTCCTAGGTGGACTGGGCTGTAAACCTCCCTCTAATTTATTACTTTTCTTTCTGTATTCCTCATCTTTACTGCAAATTGAAAACATGTCTCTGTAGGGTGCTCCAACTGGAGAAAGGGGCCTTGGTGATTGTAATGTTCCAAACTATTCATTTCAAGCACCAACGTGATGATTATGGTTTGTCGTTTCTAGAGAGTAGTTAAACCTCATGTAATGAGGTTGCCAATTATCCCCGGTACTCCCCGATGTTTAGTGACAAATCAAAGCTATTTGGTGTACCTAAGTGTGTTTGCTTGTCAAGCCCGTGGCCTGTCACCCACAGCTGGCCTCCCAGCAGGAGATAGGGAGGGTTTGATGCCTTGGCACGGGTGTTGCTTGGGGTGTTAAAAGGTGGTAAAGTTGAGGGATTGGCAAGGGGAGAGCTTTGGGACATCCTGCTGGGCCCCTTCCAACCTATGGATGATCCTATGGCCAGCGGCACATGTGAATGGTCTGAAGAGTTGGGTTTTATGTACTTCAGCAGTGAGAAGAGGCTGAGGTTTCTTGTTCTTCTCAGTTTATCTTGCCCTGGCAATGAGAATCACTTTTCTGCCATCATTTCCGTAGCGTATTGGGTGCATTGGGATAAGGATGTTAAATGAGCTGGTCCTTCTGAGTGTGAGAGGGTCAGTCTTTGTGTGCCATTCCTGATACAGTTCGTGGGTTCTCCAAGTAGATTTTTGAGACTCTTGAATCCAGAAGACCTTTCCCTTTTCCCATTTGGCGAATGGGCTTCAACCTCAGATTTATAGCTCCAAAGTGCTACTACAAAGTGTTCAACTAACCTCTGGGCCAAGAAGGTGCAGGGTAACGTTTATCATGACTTTTGCTGGGTGAAGAAGCACTGTGCTTAACTCTTGTGTTCCCCGGGGTTTTACTGTCCCCCATCAGCCATTTTCTATTCCCCCTTCATACCCAGCACCATATGCCAGGCAGCTGAAAGCACGTCACTCTAGTCTGTTGAGAGATTTTTAAACTTCACTGCTGACTTTTAATCTTTTTCCCAGAGGTATTTCACCCCAAGAAGTGAGACAGATAAGGCAGCAGGAGGTGTCAAATGATTCATCTCAATGGGTACCAGTAGCAAGATGAAAGGATATTCATTTCTATGGGGAGCTTCCCATCATTTCCTGTAGAAAATGCAAGGGAACAAGCCGAGAAGATGGTGGGGGGGTCCCAGGCATTGCCTGCACTGCCCCTATGCTCTTTGTTCTGGGTTTTATATGTTATACCCTCCAGCTGGTACCATGCCCTGTTGCAGCAGACAGTGGTCCAACACGCGCTGGAAGACAGGATCTGTCCCAGGAAACTCACACCTGGATGCACAGGGAGGAGAAGCAACGTTGAAGTGATGGGACGTGTAGCCCAACACTGCCAGGCAAGGCAGTCACAAGGGCCTCCTCGCTTGTGCAATTACTCTTCAAAATTTTTTGCTTTCCATCCCCAAGTAAGAAGGATGGCTTCTGACCTTGGTAATCCAGGATGGTTGGATACCGGCCTTGCCAGCTTCACAAATAAATGTCCATGATCTTTGACTCCTTCCTGCAGAAGACAGGCTGTCATTATTATGATTTGGTTGATAAAGTTAGAGGTAGACCTTTGTGCCTTTGCATTTGAATTGGCACAAAGCTACATCTCGAGGAATCCATTAATCTCGAACAAACTGAACTCCAGAGGCACAACAGGCATTAATACCTTAAATATGACTTTCCAAGCTTAGTACTGCCAAATCCACCTTTGCATTTTCCCTCCTTTTCCTGGCAAGAAGGGGAAATTCTGTAGGTGGCCACCAAAGAACTGAAGGAGGCAGCAGGTGGCTTCTGAGATCTATCCATATCTGAATCCCCTCACCCCCGTTCCTCCCTCACAGTATTTTTTTTCTCTTCTATTTTTTTTTTCCCCGTTCTACTGAAAAATACTGTGCCTCCTGCACCTTCATTATCCAGCAAATCCTCAGGAAGCAAGTATTTTATACAGCATGAAAAAACATTTGTGATATAAAGAGACCAGAAACTGCGGAGTGGCCCCTTCCAAAAAGCTTAGATCAAACCTAATTATAACACACACCCCCAAAAGAAAGAACTAAAGGGACCCAAGCAGAACCTTGACAAAGAGCTGTGCATTTACTTGCTGAGGCTACTGCAATTAGATTTTGAACCAAAAAAGCCCTAAGGGAAAACAGAAGCCAACACCAGAGAAATCTGTCATCTGCCAGGCCCTGGTACACCATAGGGGATGTGGGGGATGGATTTTCAAAATGCAAATAGGGGTCCATTGAGGCTTCACTACACTTCAGCGAGGTAATTTTCAAACTTAATGATTTTCACATTTAATTCAGGGAGAAATTAGTCATCAGGTATTGAGACAAAGCAAGGCTCTCTTCTGTACTGGGATGCTCTCCTCTTCAAGCTGTGTTATCTCGGCAATAATTAAAATGTTCGCTGAAGTAGAAAATGTGCTATCTGATTCATTAGCCAGATTTCCCTTTGTACGGTAACCCTTGTTTGCTTATCGGAAATAGAGACGGGCTTGAAGAAGAGGCCTCTGGCCACTAATGATTCGGGAGGGAGGAGCCAAGGGATCATGAAACCAAAGCGAGTGTGTGCTCGGCGTGTCCTCTTCCACCCTTGCAGCCACCAAAGGAGGGTCTGCATGGAAGGCGTTGCTTGGCTGGTGAAGCTCTGGATTATAGGAACACGTAGGATAACATGTCTGTCCCAGGCATGATGTCCCTTGTGCCCGTGGGTGGCTGTGGCCCCAGGCTAAGCAGGAGAATTTCAGCTTGCACCCAGATTGTGCTGCAAGAAGGTGTCCCTCACAAGTGAGCCGGTGTTAGGTGGGAATGAGAAGATGAACCTAATCTGGATGGCAGGAGAAGGAAAGGCCAAGTGGGAGCTGGGTTAGCTTGTGTCTGAAAGCTTGCAAGATTTTGTGCGGTGCTGAGTACAGTACTCATGACACCCATGGGCTGGCTCAGTGTTGTTGATAGGGAGCAGGTAGGAAAAGGAGAAGGAAAAGAAGAATACTAGGCTTTGAGTGACATTCCTATGGGGGAAACAAATGCAATACTGGAAAATTCTCATCCTTCAAAATTTCAAAATCATCTGTAAGATGTAAACATAACAACAGGTGACTTCTTTTTGCATCCTCCTGGTATCTGGATCTTTAGACGACACTATTCTGGTATGTCACTTTGTTCTGGTGTTGCCACATTTCAAGCAGCTTCTCTGTGCAGAGCAGAACAGTACTCCTGATTCGAAGTGAGTTTGTCCTGCAGGAGAGCAGCAAGGCACCTCCAGCATCTCAAGTAGAGCCTACACAAAAACATCTCTCCCTTTTTCTTCTCTTCTAGTGATCCCCAAAGTAACCAAGCACTTGCTCTCCAATCCTGTCTTCACCTGCATCATCCTGGCGGCCTGCATGGAGATCGCGGTGGTGGCTGGCTTCGCCGCCTTCCTGGGGAAGTACCTGGAGCAGCAGTTCAACCTCACCACCTCATCTGCCAACCAGCTCCTGGGTGAGTAACCACAGGGGCCACTAAATCTCCAGTGTCCAAGGGCATTTAAAAGTGTTCAGTGTGGCTGGTAACCGCAACCAGTCAGGCTGGCTAGGATGCCCAAAAAATGACTTGCCCAACATCTAGAAATGTGTCTGTGAGTGGGAGGGCTGGGCTCCAGCTGTGTCTTGGTTGCAGAGCCCGGAGCAGACCTCCATCATCCTTTCTCCCTGACTGGGCTCTCCACTGCAGCCTGCTGCAATCTCTTCCCAAGCCCGTTGTGTGACAAGTGGTGTGATACAGCCAGGGTATGAAAGTCTGTGATGGCCCTGAAGTAGAGCAGAAATCCCACCCAGACTGGGCTGTTTGGTTGCACAGGACTGCAGTTGCTCACCAAGAGACAGGGCTGCCCATCAAACTGCTTGTCTCATGGTTCAGGTGTCCTAGAATTCTACAGCCCATCACCATTTGGGTTAGGAAACCCAGTTTCTCCTGTTAGTCCCTCCTTTCCCCTTGGACTGGAGATGACAGGATTGCAATCAGCAGTTCAAATGCCCGAGCTAGTGCAGCTTGTTTGTCTTTCAAATACCCCTTCTCTCTACTGTCCTATGCTGCTGTAGTTTCCAATATATATATTTCTCAACGTTCATTCAGTCCTTCCCTGTCAGGACACTGATGCAGAGGCAGGATCTCCATTTATTTTCTCCTGCTGCCCATTCCCAAGCAGGCCCAGTGATTTGTTTGACAGCCGTTCTCTCGGCACCACCCAATTAAGATACCTGCAAGTTGGTCTTGTATGACCTGCAATCACAGCTCACCAGAAGGGCAGCTGGCAATGATCTGTCATAAACTGGGACGTCATGAAATGGGTGGATCTTAATATCAAAATCAGGGGCTTACAAGCTGCTCTCCTGACAGTTATTTATTTTCCCATTGAAAATCTTCTGGTATCTTCTGGGTTTGGCCTGGTTTTCCAAAAGAAACAATCCCCTGCAGTCAGTCTTGCCTCCCCTGACAGGAACTCACTGGTGAATTTTAATAAGATTTGACAGAAGGACAGAGGTCTCAAAGATCATAGAATCATAGAATTGTCTAGGTTGGAAGGGACCTTTAAGATGTTAGGCTTTTCCATCTTTCCTGAAAATTAAGAGCTTGGCAAAGGAAAGCAACTTCACTGTTGACCCACTGGGAGAAGGAAAACCACTAAACTGTTTGGTGGGAAATGCTTGGCCAGTCAGCATGTGAGTACAGCTGGATGGCCCACTGGGAGAAGGAAAACCACTAAGCTGTTTGGTGGGAGACGCTGGCCAGTCAGCATGTGAGTACAGCTGGATGGTCAGCAAAGAGGGAATCACTTGTGAGCCAGAGCACGTCCTGCTTCTGACCTAATAGTGGGAAAGGACACTTTAATACATCCGTGGTCCTCACAACAACTTGTTTAATTTAAACGAAGTTGCTATGAGATTTCCCACATGGCATTTATGGGAGTCCAGATTTAAACAAAGTTGCTATCAAATTTCCCACATGGCATTTATGGGAGTCCAGAAATGCCAGGATGTGGATGCAATTCTAAGCTTAGCCCAGATATGGAGTATAACTAGCAGCCAAGGGACAGAAGTGAACCCAGACAAGCTTAGTGTGATAATGCCTTCTGTGCCTGGAAAGTGAGTCACTTCTGGCAGTGATTTTGCTTCTCAGTTTTGGAAGGTTCTTTGAGGGAGACTTCATGTTTTCAAATGCGACTGTTGCCTAATCTCTGAAGATCAGACTGCTGTGAAGTATATACCAAGCAGGGCTCATCCAAAGCCTCTAGACATCTCAGAAAATTCATGACTTTGTCTGCCAGCTGTTGCAGGAAGCATTAGTGGTACCACTGCTTGGGTTAGAATGGGCCAGTCTCAGCAATTTTGGCATCACCCTCCAATACGGACAAGAACTGGACGAAGATCCCGGTTGCTCTGTGCAAGGCAGCATATCCATTTGCATCCGTTCCTCACTTTTTGGGCAACATCAGTTTGGTGCTACTCCAACAGTTGGACTTTAGAAGGTTTCCCCATGCTAGTGCACAGATCTCTGTCCTGGAAAGTAAAAAGCTGTCAGAGTGTGGTTCACTAAACCTCGCTCACACTTCTTGCTAACCGATTTTTCTTCTTGCAGGGATGACAGCAATCCCATGCGCCTGTTTGGGCATATTCCTGGGTGGCCTCTTGGTGAAGAAGCTCAGCCTGTCTGCTCTGGGAGCCATCAGGATGGCCATGCTGGTGAACCTGGTGTCCACAGCTTGCTACGTGTCTTTCCTGTTCCTGGGATGCGACACAGGACCTGTAGCAGGGGTTACTGTTCCCTATGGAAACAAGTGAGTCCCTAGAGAGTTTCAGGATCTCACGCAGCCTTACCAACATAAATGCCATGTTATTGTCCTCAACAGGCAGCCTTCAGGCAGCGCTGGCCCTTAGGCAACCATATAGATCAAGCATATAGAAGGCTCTTATGTCATATAGGGCTCTTAGTTTGGGATGTGTTCATGCCACTCATCACTGTGAGAGCTGACAATGGAGTTTTACTAAAATTGGTCAAACTGAATTGAAAGGTGCCAGACCTGATTCTGGCCACTTACGTAGCATTGGGTCCTCTGCACCATCTGGTTTCTCCTGGCAGCGAGGGAGATGCACCGCTTTGTACATTTATTTAAGTGCCTGGGGGGAATTTGTAGAACCAGGTTTTAAATGCCTGGAAATTCAGATACGGTGAGGGGAGAGTACACATGGCTCTGGGCCCGTTTTGATGGGAGAAATGAGGCGTGTGATGCCCTGTAGCATTCACGGGACTTGGAGAGAGTTGCTCTGTATTTTCTTTTCTGGTGCTCCTCAGCATTCAGTGGCGGCTCTTTTGAAGATGATGGCTCTCAGCTCCTCACTGTTACTGTGCTAGGAAAAAACAGCTGAATCTCCCCTGGCACGTCTTTGAATTTCCTTAGGGAAACAAGGCAGCCCAAGCCTCACACTAAATTTCCCGTTGCAGAAGGATAGCAGCCCATGGCACTTCTGTCCCTGAGGAGAGGCTGTAGCCTGGATTTCTTCAAGCTGGGACCCAGATAGTCTGCCCACTGCTTTATGTGATTTGTTTGCCCTAACTGACACCCTCCAAAGCCATCTTTGTGTGGCACTGGTTGGAAAACCTGGCTGTTACACTGATGGGTGACACCATTTCTCTTTCTCTTGCAGCTCAACTCCAACCTCATCTCTGGACCCGTATTCCCCCTGCAATAACAACTGTGAATGCCAAACTGATTCCTTCACTCCAGTCTGTGGGGCAGACGGGGTCACGTACTTATCTGCCTGCTTTGCTGGCTGCAGCAGCACGGTGAGTGGGCTTTCCCCAGGACCTGTAGCAGTGATTCTGTGAGCGTGAGGGAGGGAGGTTAGTGTGTAGCTGGTAGAGCAGCTTGTTCACAGCCAGCAGTGGTGGTGACACCCTCAAAAGCTAACCGTGTGCCTTAGATGGGGCTGAGCTGCTGTGGTTTTTTCACTCTGTGCCATAAATGCCTGCTGATTCCAGCAGCAGGGTCACCCACAGAGCGGAGTGGGATTTCCCATTCTTGTCTTTCTCCTCTGCATGGTATCAAGGAACACAAGAGGAGGTCGGCATGGTTGTCCGCTGGTAGAACCCAGATCTTCCACAAGAGCTCACTAGCCCAGGCTGTGGGACCAACTTCTCTCTTCTCCTGCAGCTCCTCATCTCCCCACTTCTCCACCTGCCCATGTTTGCTCTGCCCAGTCCTTCTGCCCTTTTTCCTCTTTCGTTTTTCTTGAATCTGGTTCCTGGTTTTATTCACCCTTGTTTAAGCTTTCCTTCCACTCCTCTTGCTTCTCTCTCTTTCCCTGCTTTGCTCTGAGGCGGCAGCAAGAGCAGTTGTAAAGGGAGCAGAGACTCCATCCAAAGACATTCTGCATTTTTCTGTTCTCCATATCTAAGAGTTTTATTTCCTTTAGAAAACTCTTTAAGACCAAACCATCTCGGTGTAAAGAGATGTGGGGAATTTTTAACAATATCTTAAAAGCCTGCTTTTCCATTTTTTGCTCCTGAAATGCTAATGTCTTCTGTGCCTGCCGCTCCCGTGGGTGGGAACTGCTGGGATTCCTGTGATCCTATCTCCCTACCCAGGGCCATGCCAGGCATGGTGACTGCTGCCACACTGCCCTTGTGGAGCCCATGGGAGGTCAGCCTGGTCGCAGTGACTGTTTATCCATACATTTTGAGGAGACATCAGACCTCCCTTCCTGCTCTAAAGAGACAAACCATCAGTTTGGTGTAAGCATCCGTGAGGTGTAAGCTCACTGCTCACAAGTGCAGCCTCACAGCCCAGATGACCTGGGAGCTCATCCTCCTTAAACCTCTTCTCTCCTCAATTCCCACTCCAGCCTCAGAAATGTAGCCATCCCTTTTAAATACCACAGTTTCAAGGTGTTTTTGGCAACCCCACAAGGGACTCCCAAGAGTGTGTGGGACATGCAAAGGTTTTACCTCTTGCCCTCTTCCTCCTCCTCCTCGTCCCAACAAGACACAACACCAGCACATGATCATTTTAACAAGAAACCAGCTTGTTCAGGGCATGCAGGACAGTGTCTCGCCAGTCCACCGAGCCCTTAGCAAGAACACAGCCAGTGTGGTCTGTGGCTGGATTGCAGGGGCAACCTCCTCCCTGTGTGGTTCAGGGCAAAGCTCTGGCTCCTCTGGAAGGAACACAGTAATGAAAATTCAGCTCTCCCCTTCAGTCTGCAGCTTCCTGACCTCGTGCTCTGCAAGAGCAAGCTGGTGAGGAAAAACTTCACTCTCCTTTGCCCTCTCTCTTACTGTAACATTCGTTCTTAGAGTTCCTCTTCATCATCATCTCAGGGTTCTTTGCCTTGTTTTGTTTTGTGGGTTTTTTGCAGTAACGTTTTGAACACAAATTAGTGAAGCGATAGCATCCACTGGAAAGGGCATTATCAAGAATTATGGACCAGTTTGGCCATGCAATGGCCCTGAGGCAAAGCCAAATTGCCAAACCAGGTTTTAAACCCATAATCCAGGTAATGACCTGTCTAGAGGGTCTTGTGAATGTTATACGCTTGTGATGAGCCAAGGGTTGCTTTTTACTGGGACATAAAATTCTCTGAATGCTTTATTTAACTTTACTGCATTGGATGTTTCTGACTGCCTCTCTCCACGTTTCCTCTGTGAACAATTTCTAAGAGCAATGTGTAGCTCAGTCAGTTTTTCCTTTTTTATTTTTTCCCTCTTACTGAGCTGGTTGCAGAGCTGCTCCTCTCCAAAAAGCTGTCAGTGTAGCAGTGCTGACAGGCAGAACTCTGGCACCCTCAGGAATTTCTCTTTCAAGCCATTCCTGGGAGTGACCCTTTGACCGTGAATCTTGTTTGGTTGATGCCAGTGCTTCTCTCGCCCTTTTGGCTGGACACACACGAATTCCAGGCTGGCATTTCCATGCTGGCATCTCACAGCTTTGCACTGAGGTACCAACCTGTCTCTTCCTTGTCAGAGCCAGGGTTTAGAAAAAGTGAGTAATTGAAAACATGGATAATTTGCATAGATAATTACCCCAAACTCAGGATGCTGTTAAAGGTGCAAACTCTGCATCTGTGCAGCTCCACAGTTTGGGTGTGCAAGCTGCTGGGCTTGCAGTGGAAAGCTGTGATAAACGTGTGGTTGCATGCGGTGGGGTTGCAGACAAGGGAATCTATAGCAATTTGGCATGGGTAGCAAAATTTGCCTCTCCACAGGACAAAGGTAAAACTCCATCTTTGATGTTTCCTTGTTTGATGTCTGAGAATTGTATAGTGTGTCAGTAATAAAAGATCAAAGATCTCCCAGGTAAGGATGAGGTGCAGCTCTAAGCAAGCAGATGTACTTGGTACAAACTACTCACACTGTTTTGGGCTAGCACCTTGGTGCAAAATGGTCGAAAAAGTGGATTGAGGGACAAATTTTCAGGCAATGGAGGTGGGGCCCTGCCTTGTGGTTGGTAACAATTCATGGGAGGACACCAATGGGAGGAGAAGCTGCCCATCCCTTACCAGAAACAGGTACTTTCTCTCCATTGATGGAGAGCCCATGGGAAATAAGCAGCCAGTTCTTTGTGTTTGCTCTGATGGGAATTTTGTCCCAGGAAATTTCAGTGCAGGTATGTACTTTCCTGGACTTAGATGGGTTTTAATCCTGAGGCTGTGTCCAGGCTGGCTGCTAGCAATACACTGCAGTAAGAGCCAAGAACTACAAATTCCCGTTGTCTTTGCAAACACCACTGCAGTGGTGCTAATTGTCACCATCTCAAAGCCTTCAGGTGGCAGCTTCTAACTCACAGCACAGGAATTTGTTATGTTAATTATTGCTTGCCAGCCAGAAAGGCACCTGCACATCTACTCCAGCTCTCCTGGTGTTCTGCACTGCGGTCTCTCTTGCCCTCTGTGCACTTACTTGGAAGAAAATCATTTGACTCCTATGCAGAAGAAAGAGATTGGTGTCAGAAGGGCTGGGGTAATATCCCCACGGATCCTTATCTTTGGAGGCGGTGAACCAGAAAGTGTGCTTTTGTATGGTCCTAAGGGGACCCCAGCAGAAAAGCAAAGGAATTTCTAGTTGAACGTGGTAGAGGGGAAGGGGAGGAGATTTAGCTGTTTTTCAATATGTTTTATTTTATGGCGTTACTCCTCTTACAAACATGTGACCTGCAAACCCAGCGGGCTGATGAAGACAAGCCATGAATCATTTATGATCGTTTCGTTCTGTATTCGTTAAGGGATTTCTTGGTAGTATTGTGCGCCTTAATTGCACTTACATCCCCCACTCAGAAATTCAGGAGGGCGAGTTGGCAAATAGGGGAAAAAAAAAAAAATTTCTAAATCTGTGAGTGGCAAACAAAGCTTCTTTTCACATCCTGCACTTGCTGGAGAGATCAAAGGAAAATGCAGTCATTTCGCCCTCCTTCTGATCACATATTGATAAAGTTTATCTCGCCTGACTTCAGCTTTTAGCTCGACACAAATCCCTCTGAACCAGATGTCATTTATTATCCCTGTAGTGCACTTGAGTCCAGCAGTGTCTGTGCTGGCAGTTCAGCTGTGATATTCCAGCTCTTTGGGGAGCCACAGCACCCATCGTGGGTGGCTCCTTCCTGGGATTCCTAGTGCTGGAAGCAGGCACCGAACCCACAGCCAACAACAGGGCTGCAGATTTGCCTGCTTTTAATGTACTTCGGTTTAATTGCAGCAGCCAAGAGGATGGAGGTAAATAACAAAGTAATTAGAACTGTAATTTGGGGATCTTCCTTGTCACAGGGACACAGATCGTTTCTTTATTCTCCTCCAAAGGGGTATAACTTGGTAATAATTTTGTCGCAGTGACATTTATGGGAGAGACTTGAAAGGAGGAGAAGAAAAGAAACAAGCCAAGGGACGGCTTTCCCTTGCTGGTAACATGCATCAGAGCTGACGTGCTTCTGAAATCCTTTCCAAACCCCCCTCAAACAAGCACTTAGGAGTTACTTAATTGACCATTAGAGGATACAGAATTGCTGTTGGCAAGCCCTCGTCGCAGAGGGCGAGGATGGTGGGGACCACGGCTCTCACTTCCCCTGAACCCCTGTGCTCCCCCACAGAACCTCAGTGGCTGTTCCTGCCTCACCTCGGTCCCTGCCGAAAATGCCACCGTCGTCCCCGGCAAATGCCCCAGTCCCGGCTGCGAAGAGGCCTTCTTGACATTCCTCTGCGTGATGTGTGTCTGCAGCATGATCGGGGCCATGGCGCAGACGCCATCAGTCATCATACTCATCAGGTAGGACCATGGACGGGAGGATGCGATGAGCCTGCTGGGGGCTGCTCTTGGGGTGGGAGCTGGGCTGGAAGGACCATGGGGTACCACGGGGAGCTGCAGGAAGCCAAGGGTCCTGCACAGCTCCTGGCCTTTGCCTTTTTTGGCTGTGTGTTCCCATATCAGTGACTTTGGCTTAAGCAGCGGTTCAGTGCATCAAAAAAACCTTGTTTGACTAAGCACTCTCTGGTGGGGACACCTTGAAAGAGCTGCCCATATTTTCAAAAGATCTTGAACCTCCTCAGCAAATGAGGAGCTACGGGCACAGGCCTTCTCGTACGGTCCTGCCTTTACATGCAGGCAGGAATCGAAAACCCCAGCAGTCCTGCCTGAATTTCAGACCCGTTGTTTCAAGCTTTAATTAAGTAATTTTCTTTCTAAGCCACTATTTCTCTTGGTAGCACCTGGTTCATCCGTGGCACGGCCCCACCGAGCTCAGTGCCTACAGTACTGACCCGCCAGAGAGAATACGGGAATTGCTCGAGTACAGCTTTGGTAAAATGGGAGTGAGGAGGACTGGGCTTGAAAAGAGAGAAGATCCCTGCTAGAATTAGTGTGGGAAGGGAAATGCAGATGTGCAGTTTCCAGTCCAGGTAGTAAGGATGTTACAGTTGCATCAGGAAAGGGGCAGAGTTGCAGCCCCACGTTCTCGGCCCACAACGGCTCAGTAAGATACCGTTAGAGGTGGTCTGGAGATCATAGACACCGTGGAAAAACAAAAGGCTGCAGCAAAGGGTAGCTTTGGTCAATAACCCCCTGGCTGGAGTTTAACTTCTCTCACCCTGGACCAAGTCCAAGAACAGAAAGAACTTGAAAGTCTGAAGGACGTCTCTAAGTTGAACCAATATGAAAAGGTGGGCAAAAGTAGCTTATTCAAATAACTGACCTTGTGTTATTTCCAGACACATGGAACACTTCACCTTATGATATACGTATATATCTAAGCCCACATTTATCCAGAATTACTTATCTGTCCGGGATGTCACTTACTGAGAATAATAACCAGAGGCATAAATAGCAGATCCATTCTGCTGCCTGGAAAATTCCAATAAAATTCAATCAATAAGGTCTGTTTTAGAAACACACTCTTGAGTGGATCTTGGACAGAACAGCTCTGTGAGGGCATGTCTCCCTGCAGGATACAAAATGAGATATTCCACCTACTAGTTCATTTCTCTCTTTGCATCTACAGTAGCTAAAGGGAAATCAAATTTCTCATGATAAATATTGTGGCAAAAGTAATTTGAAGTTTGAAGAGTTCTTTGTTCAAGGGAGCTGCCAGCACCTGTAGGATCCTGAATGGAGACGTCTTGGTGTCGACTTCAAATGAGATAAGCCAGTCACCAGCCAGGAAGAAGAATGCAAGGGAATAAGAAAAGCAAAGGGAATATTAAAAATATTCAGCTCACAGCTGTAGGAAATAAACAATTCACACATCCAAATTAGTAACTACACTGCCCTCAGAATCACTGATAGCTACTAAAATGTGCAGGGAAGAGCGCTTTGCCATAGACTACCTCATGCTCTCTTGCAACTGCTTGGATTGCTAGAAGAAAGTTTTGGCATGTGTGTCCCTGGTGCCCATGGCAGTGACAAGTGGCATTGGCAGTTAATTTAAAAATGGACTTTAGTGTCTACAAATTAGATGTCTTGTCATTTGTTCATTGCTGGAGTCAGTGGGAAAAGATGATGTCTCCAGGTGGCAACTTTTACTCTGCCCTAAGGTACAGGGATTGACTTTGGTCTTAAATACAATGAAATGGACAGAAGGACACCACCACCAATTAAAAAGCCACTGTGAATATTTCACATTATTTTGCCATAAAATAAACTTTAATACTCGTTCTGTTTCCTTCATTTCCCACACAACTGTAGAGTCCTATTTGAGCCAAGCCATTAACCACTGGAACATTTTTCCAAGGGTAGATACTTCCCGGCATTTTATTGAGCCTGGGGGTCTGCCTGAAAACTACTGAAATTCATTCAGGGGTCATAGGCTTCATGCAGGAGTCAGGGTATGGTGTTACGTGACCTGTGTAGTGTGTGAGATGGGGCAGGTGTTCAGAATGGTCTTCTCTTAGCTTATTCTGGCTGTTTTACTAGTAATGACTGATGCCCCACCAATGTGTTTATACAGAGGACCACCACTGCCACCATGGAGGCCACTCGCAGTGCTGCCTGCAGACCTCTGTAAGGAGCTAATGGAAGAGGCAGCTTAGGCCTTTGAAGTTCCCCTGTGTGATGGATCTATTCATATGGGGATCACTGTCCTGCTTTCCCAGCCTTCATATACCGTGGGAAATAAAATGCTATTATAAGACTTAGGACCAAATTAATGATTTCTGAAATTCCAAAGGCTTTGCTGAGCCTACCCCAGGGGGATGACTTTAGCCAGTAGCATCCTTGAGTTAAGCGAATTAGAAAGCCACGAATTATTTTTTTAAAGCACCTTTGAAGGATGACACTGATGCGATAGAGTGGGTTGTGTTTGTAGCAATACGCAGTGCAACCTTGGCCTTCCCAGCATAAAAAATAAAACTAAAAAATTGCATGCTAAAATCAGGCCCATGAAAACTAGTCTTCTTGAGCACGTCCTCACTGGGAGGCCTGATTCAACTGGGAGGATGATGGACCAAAAGGCCTTTTCGTCCATCATCCTCCCTCTGTCGTTCCCAGTAGTTTGGGAAGTTTCTCCCTCCAATTTGCAACATCTGGAGCTTTGAAAGCATGATGGGGAGCTTGTAAATGACGATGTACTGGGATGGGAATTTCATTTTTCCCCACCCGACGACAAGATTAGCTGTTGTTATTAATGACTTAGCTAAATTCCTGAACCTATCACCGATGCAATTACTTTTGGGGCTGTAGGCAGTTCAGGCGAAGGGAGAAGAAAAACCCCATTAATGACTTTTTGAAGAGGTGGTGGTGGCATCGTGGCTGACAGCACAGAATGGCCACAGGGTGTGTTAATCAAAGCAGAACAAGAATCGATTTCACTCTCTCCCTCCCTCCTCCCTGCAGAACCGTGAGCCCCGAACTCAAGTCTTACGCTTTGGGGGTGCTTTTCCTGCTTCTCCGTTTGCTAGGTAGGTACAAAAATTTCATGTCTTTCTATCCTATCCTTTCCTCCCTCGCAGAAAACTGTATTTTTAACATGCAAAAGTTGATTTCTACTCCATGCAGTGCTGTGTTTGTCATGAGTGGGGTCTGACACAACGGGGTCTGGGCCCTCTCTATGAAGGATATCACGTCAAGGCTCCTGAAGGCACTTTTCCTGCCATTTGAATTGTGCTAATGGAAGAAAATGCTGTGTTGCATGAGAAATGACCATTTCTGCCATGGTTGCACGCAACCAGTTACTCTTCTACAGCTGTTATTAACACGTCAGTAGCTTGCAAAATTACTGCTGTATTGCATATTGCCGAAGTAGAGGGATATGTATTTTCATCCTCCTTTGAGGGACAGGACCTGTGTTACATGGGGTGTTTGTCCCTTCCTTTGGGTCCCTTGGAAAGGAAAACAGTAAAATGAGACAGGCTGAGTCCTTGTGTCCTCCTGTGGGTTAATACCCCATTAAAATGGATACGGCTGTTCCTCTGGACCAGTATGTGCTTCTCATGTCTGAATTAAAAGGAGCACAGTAGGCTGTTGTTCACCTGCTTCTCGTTTCTGGGTGGAGATTTTTTCCCCTGTTGAAGAGATGGTTCCTGTTTTAAAACTCCTATCTTTCAGCTCATTAATCTTAGTGATTCAGGGAAAAATCTTCTGATCCATCACTGTGTGGGTCCACCTCATGCACGGGGTTTCTGTGTGGTGTGGGGGTGGAATTTACTTTTATTTTAGCGGGGCACAGGCAGTACCTTCCCCGCATGTCATCCCTCCCCCAGACTCAAAGGAATGAGCTGGAGAGTAAAGTGCCCTCTTTAAAGCGCCATTAGGAAGTACAAGGCCAAAAATTCGACATTGCTTTGAATGCATGACCTCATTTATTTACTTATTTTTTGTAATACCGTATTCCCCATTAGCTGCAAGGGAAATGGTGGTCCCAGAGCAGTTTATGATAAAGCTAATTAGATTTTTATTGCTTTTGGTGAAGTAGCAGTAGTCATACAGAAAGCTCATTCAAGTAATCTTATCCAGAGCACAGATGACTCAAAGGGAAGCTTCTGGGTTGACTTGGGTCAGCTCTGGTTGAAGCCTTGCAAAGACAGCATTTTCTTTAGCTGTTGGTGCTGCTCCCGGGTTTTGGCCTGTCTTCAGCTCTCGTTGACTGAATGTGGAGTGTCAGCAGGAAAGTGTGTGAGGGGGATGGCTGTGGGCTGTTGTTTCCAAAGGAAAAAGTACTTAAGGGGGGGAAATTGTCTCTCTTTTCTCTTTTTCTTTCAAGAGAGAAAAGCCTCCCGAGACAGTAGCATCTTGAATTCCTCTAAAACCAGGCTCAGACATGTATGCTTAAGTTGAATAGATCTTTTTTTTTCTTCCAATAAAAAAGCCATAGTAAGAATTTCAAGTCAAATCTTTATACGTTGCTCTGTCACTGAGGAATTCCCATGAAATAAGACAATACATCCTGAAGCATATCCGCAATGTAGCAAGAACCCACAGAAAATGAAGAGAAAGGTACTTTTCAATATGAGCAAGGGTATCCAAATCTTGCCCTTAACAACCTGAGGTTTGAGAGTAGCTTTACTGATTTATTTTAAAAGCTTTTCAGTTCACCTTTAAGCTTTGACTTAAGAAGAGAGTGATAATAGCTGTTTCTTGAACCAAAGGAGAGTATTAAATACAGGAGATATGAGACCCGGAGGTGCAATCGTCGCTAATAGATTTCAGTAAGACAGAAGCAGCTTTTTTATACATCCCTACAGTTTCTGCAGTGCAATATATATATAGCAGAAATTTTTGCAACACTTTGCACTGAGAGGTAAAACATGATTGAATCTCTTTAATATTCGCTGTAATAACATGAAGCACAACTGAATTCAGCTGTTATCCTCCTGGATGTATTCTCTTATTCCATAGGAGTTCTGCTGTGAGAGGGCAGCATAACAATGTCTTCATATAAAAGCATTACTGCAGTTGTGAGAGTGGTAGAGCACTGGAACAAGCTGCCCAGAGAGGTGGTGGAGTCTCCTTCTCTGGAGACATTCAAAACCTGCCTGGACACGTTCCCATGCAACCTGCTTTAGGTGGACCCGCTTTGGCAGGGGTGTTGGACTAGATGATTTCCAGAGGTCCCTTCCAACCCCATATCATTCTGTGATTCTATGATTGGAGCCAAAGGATTGGAATGGAAATGTCTGGAATGGTAAAGAGTTTTAGACTTGTAAGATCCCAGAGGCATCCTTTCTGGATGGTGTTCACTGTGCATCCTAGGAAAGCCTCCACTTACCAGGAAGCTTTTGTTTTTCCTACAAATCCATGTTGTTTGCCTCTCTTCTTTCAACATGATAGAAACACAGTCTTTCTCTCTCAGAATGACTTTCCAATCTGCATTGCAGCCCCTCAACTCCCTTGTCTCAAAGGGTCTAGGCACCAAGTCACTCCTCTGAGTCTCTTGTCCTCTCCTCTGGTAAAAATTACTTGAAACACTCACTGGTTGCTACAAGTCTTCCCTATATTTTTCTTCAAGGTTTCCACACCCATGCCTGCATTCACATAGGTGTAGCTTTGCAGTTCAGTGAAAACAGGTCCTTCCTCAAATCTTATGAGGAGCAATTTCCAGGCCAGATTATCTTGAGAACCTGGAAAGCCAGCTGAAGCCAGCAGATGGGGATGATCGCTCTTTCTGAAGTTCAGACTGTGCATCTCCAAAGCTTTCTATCGACACCTCTCAGCATGGTAACAAGTAGGGTCTCACGCATCAAAATTGTGATCCAAATGCAGTTTTCTCTTGGTCCAGAAAGTGGAGGCTCCTGCCTCCTCGGTCACTGCCGCATCTGGATGTTACCCCCGTAGGTGGCAGCCAGCACCGACGCAGCACTGCACACCCAAAAATGCATTCACCAGCACAATCTCTTTGCTTTTTTCTGGCAGAAGCCCAGCTGAGTTTTTAAATTCCAGGTTGAGTGAGCACTCATCCACAGGTTTCAAAGAAAAAAAAAGAAAAAAACCAAACAACCAAATAAAAAGCATCTTTTTAACTTAGAAGCAGAACCAGCCCAGTCTGGAGTTTCCAGGCATTGAAATGACAAACAGGGGGCTGGCGATGACATTTTTTCCAGAATGTAACCAGCTTTTTAGATGTGATGACTGGGACTAGTGTTTTTAACAAAAAGATTGTCTTGCTTTTGTATCATCTGTTTTTATTTACTACATTTGTGCTATTAATGACTGGTTAAAACGAGTACCAAAAGCCCATATAGCCTTTCTTAACTCCTGCAGTTATTAACATATAAGGAAGATCAAACAAAATCTGCAGAGCTCTAGACATCAACAAAATAAAATAAAGAGATCTCAGATAACACAGGGAACAGTGAAGACAACCAATTTATTTGTAGTCTAAGGATGTGTCATGAATGTCGCTATTTTGTTCGTGACAAGCTGAAGGAAAATATCTTTTTTAAGTATGGAAATCCAGGTTAATGATGAAACTGGATCCAAGATTAAACACTTTCCTGTCTAGGAACTGCACTCCTTGTGTCTGTTTGTCTACACCTGAATTTATAGAGTCCCAGGCATCACAGCACCTGTGAATGGAGTGATATTGTTGGGCCCATGTTGTGCCCACCCACTATTTGGTTTCAGTAGATATGATGCTCTCCTTTGCTTGCTGTATTAACCTACAGCAATTATTTTATCGACCAGGGTTTTTTCCAGGGTTTATCCACTTCTAACTTCCCCCCATAAATACAGCAGAAGGAAGAGAAATGTTTTACATACATATCCCCATTTTCTTCAGTGCTGGCTGGGGAGCACAAAGCTGGGACATGGATGTCCTGACCACCATTGGGGTAATGTGAAATGGGGGCTCCTCTACAGTATCCCTGTAGAATAGGGAAAAGTAGAGAAGAAAAACATTGTCTTTATTAGTTAAATGAGATTGGAGTGATTACTTTGCTTTAAGATTGCAGCTCTGCTGCAAAGCATGATTGAGAACCGCTCATCAGTAGTTAGCTGGAGTGGCTGTGGGAGGATCCTGCTGTGATACTTCATTTAATGGTGCACTGAAAATTCCCCTTCTTTTCAGATCTAATCTTTGGCACCTATTAGAGGTCATTGTTTATTTTCCTTAGACCCGGAGAAAACCTTCGGTGTCAGGAAAAGGTCCAAAACTAGACCTCAGTGCCATAGCTCATTTCAGGCTCTGAACTGTGGTCCTATGACATCCTTCAGATGAACTCCCCAGAGTGTGGAATTACCAATACCTAAACAGAGAGCAAGCTGTAAGCCTGTCCTCCTCCTCTTTCATTTACCCCTCCACCCAGTCTCATTAGGCAAACGAGAAGCTTAATAAAAGCCACTTAAACTTGAGTAAACTCCTTCCTGCATGTTGATATCAGCAGGAATCTCTTCTGTAGATGTTGAGTCCAAGCTAAAAACCCATCCACAGACTTTGTTTAGGTTGGTTTAGAACTTAAAAAATTAGAATCACAGGTTGCAGCTGGGACTGTTAACCTTGATAAAGTATCCTCTCTTTCCATTCACCACCACCCCATCTTTTCTCTTTATCATAGGATCATAGAATGGTTAGAGTTGGAAGGGACCTTAGAGATCATCGAGTTTATCGTAAGGGTCATAAAAGCATGATTTTTCTCTCTTATTTTGACAGGTTTTATCCCACCTCCGCTGATCTTTGGGGCTGGAATTGACTCCACGTGTCTGTTCTGGAGCACGTTCTGTGGCGAGCAAGGAGCCTGCGCGCTGTATGACAACGTGGTCTATAGATACCTGTATGTTAGCATTGCTATAGCCCTGAAGTCTTTTGCGTTCATCTTATATACCACCACCTGGCAGTGCTTGAGGAAAAACTATAAAAGATACATCAAGAACCACGAAGGTGGTCTCAGCACTAGTGAGTTTTTTGCCTCTACTCTCACCCTAGACAATCTGGGGCGGGACTCGGTGCCCCCAAATCAACCACACAGGACAAAATTTATCTATAACCTTGAAGATCATGAGTGGTGTGAAAATATGGAGTCTGTTTTATAGTGACTGTGGAGGGGTGAACTGTATTAATAATACAAGGGTCCTTTTTAATAAAAACAAAGAAGAGAGTGAGAATGAAGAAACACAACTGCAAAACACCAACGGCAACACAGGAAACTTTTGTCTTTTTCTCAAAGTCAGACCCAGCCAGGATTCTTGAGAACAGCGTCTTCGAATGGGATCACTTGTGAAGTCCTGCGGGGTGTTGGAGAACGCCAGGAGCACCCCCGTGGCTGGGTACCAGGCCCTTTGATGACAGTACGAGCTTCCAAGAAGGTCATGGGAGACCTCGGCAAAACAAGACAGGCTTGTTCATGAGGCCCAGAGAAAGCAAGGTGATAACAGCAGTGTCATAACAAGCGTTTGCAGCTGCAAACAGGGCCCCCCCAGGGATACGTGGAGCCCCCAAAGGGTTGGCCAGTCTGGGTGCTGTGCTCTGGTGATGGCAAAGAGGGGGAGCGGTGCTGGAGGTGTTCACCAGTCCCACTCCATTACCAGCCACTGGTGGCCAATAAATACCTTGAGAGCTGCTGGAAGCCTTCCAGGTGGCGGGCAGTGCTGTCAGAGGTGTCCGAGTCCTTCCAGCCGAGGCGTATTCGCAGCTTTTGTGCTTGTCTGCGGATAGCTCTGCCCAGATCTCTCAAACCCAGTCAAGTTCAAGACATTTGCTCACACTTGCCAAACGTGCTGTCATTTTTAAAGGGGGATGAATTCCAAATACTTGTCTGTGTAGTCCTCTAATAAGATTTTTTTTTAAAAAAAAAAACAACTTATTTTCAAATCTATGTTAACCCTTAAATCGCTGACACTTTTCCATAGGGAGGATTTATTTATGCTCGTTTGGGGAAGGATCCTGTTTAATTCACCCAAACATAATGTGACTCAAGGGGTTTGTTTAATCCTCTGCGTTTTTTATCCATACGCCTTCATTCTAATATGCTACCAAGCCAATGAAGACACATAATATGTTTTTAAAAAACGGAACGAATGCACTGTGTCTCTATAAAAACAATTGTCAGTTGGAGAATTATAGATAATATGATGATTTACATAATATAGTTTTTTTTTCATATTCTATGTGACTCAGTGAATACATATATATATGGAGAGGCTGTTTATGTTCTCTCCAGTTTTTAAAGATATATATATATAATTTGCAATCTAGAAATTGTGTGGTGGATGTTTTCTTTAAAGTAAGTGTGCGTGTGTGTGTGTACAAGATGAAAGGAATACTGACCTTAATCCTGCAGCCCTCACAATTGATATTTTTTTTTTTTTTTCCCCTGAGAGATTCCATTGACTTCAGTGGATGCTGTGTGAGGAAGGTGGAATAAATCTCCCTACCCGGAGGCCACGTTTTGCCCTTAGATGTGCAAATGGTGTTCCTGGGGAAGGCTGAGTTAGGGCAGCAGAGGCTGGCCAGCATTGAGCACCTCTGAAATTTTCATTCAGCCCCTCAAGTTGAAGGCACCCATGCAGGAGCAGATTGGGCTTTGCTTTTGCAATGCAGCCTTATCTAAGCCTGCAAAAGTCATGGGGGAGCTTTTATCTGATTTCAAGAAGCGTTGGGTCAGGCTTATTTTGCATACCTTTTCTTTTTTTTTTTTTCCCTCCAAAACATTCCTGCTGGGAAGCAATACAAATTGGTTGTGTTTGATGAGTTTCCCCCCCAGAACCAGACCCATTTCCAATGGACTAAATGTCAGAAGGGTTTTAAGGGTTAGCATCGTAATCAAAAAGCTCCTTTTTTTTTTGTTTTGTTTTGTTTGTATTTTGAAGCTGTTGTGAACTTGCAGGTGTTTAGAGAAGTCACCTGGCATGTGGAACCGAATGCTGGACGTCAATTCCATGCAGCTGGTGGAGGGGCTCATCTTCCCCAAGTCCTTGTCCATTGCTGGCAGTGGACACCCCAGAGTTGGCACAATTACACAGGGTTGATAACTTGCCACTCATGTTCAACATCTTTTTAGCAGACTTTGCTCTTATCTAGGCATTGAAACATGGGTGTGCGGTATCAAACTGCTTCCACTTGACTGACTTTACATGTGTGTTTGTAATTTATGCACAGCATTATATGTTCAGCAACAATAAGGGCAAAAACAAAAAAAAAGGGTGTATCAAATAAACTCCACTGTGCCAAATACTCAACAAATATTGTAATTGCAGATATTTGAGTCTTGGTTTTCAGCCATGTTAAGAATCACTTGATTAATGAAGGAGTTTAAAAAAAAAAAAGTTATTAAGCTATGCAGTGCCATTGTTATGTTGGGTGGTAAATGATGCTTTTTAGGCCATTAGATTGGTTTAGTATATCCTGTCTGCTAAAATAGAGATACTGCATCCATAAAACAATGAATTTAAAAAAGGCACAGGGTGCATAACTGTCTCATAAAATATGTATAATTGTCAAGTATAAGCCTTTGAAATCATTCTGTACAGTTCTCTTCATTCTGAAAATTTATTACTTAGACTGCTGTCTTTTCAAATGTTAGCTCATAATTTTATACTATACACACACATTCAGACTCGGAACACAAATGTCACAGAATAGAAACATTCTAAAAGCCTGATTGCTTGAAATTCTATAACCCCTTTCACAATTTCATTTATTTTTTTCCCCTCTGAAAGTCCAAGGTGAAGGAGAAAAGCATGCTGACATGACGCAGAACAAACTCCCAGTCTTCAATTGTCAGTTGGACAAAAAAGTCCCCCTTGACCAGAGTCATAGAGGATTCCAGGGCACTTAATGTTTTAATTATTTAATTTTTTTGTTTGTTTAATCTTTTCACTTGGTATGTATGGGAAACACAGTTGAATGGTGTTGTTTACATTATCTTTAAGCTGTAACTTCAAATTCCTGCATGATTGTTGTTTTATTTCTTTTGATAATGTAACTTTTGAAAACTTTCTCCCCAGCCCACTCTTTGTGTTTTATAATGTAACTTTCTCCCCAGCCCACTCTTTGTGTTTTTTAAGGATGTATCAGTTGCCTGCATCATGAAGGGCTTTACTGTCAGTGCTTTGGTAGAGATTCAAGAGCAGAGCTTTAGTTTAAAGAAGACACACAAACCAAAACCTTCATCCATCCCAGCAGGCTTTTTGAGTTTTCTCTGATTTCAAAACCACAACCCAGTTTTGCCTGCAACCCAATTTTTGTTAGAGAATAACAAATGAAGAGTCTCAGAACTTCCCAAATTTCAGTATGGGCCTTTGCCTGTCAGCACTTCGCTTCCATCCCGCAGCTGCCTTAATCGTGCAGGAAACTTCAGAACGAGGATGGAGTTAGAAAAAAGCCCATTCCTGGGAGCAAAAACAGGGGCATGGTCTGAGCTGTGCTGTCCAGATCCAATGTTGGACATTTTTCTCTCCATATTCAAGGGCATTGAAATTCAGGGTTTTGTTGAGACCTCAGTCTCAGCAAAAATGTTATTTTGACATTTCCAAGCACTGTGTTCCCTGCGTGGCTCTCTGCTAAGGAATGGGATGTTTGGGAAAAAAAATAATAAACTACTTGAGGTTTAGCAGTCTCTATGGGATTGTCCAGTTGCCTTGCATGACTTCAGGTTGGGGTTTCCTTTGCCTTGCACAGATACCACCTTGGCGTAGCCCCAGTGGAATCAGAAGGGGACCCCAATCTAAAATTGGTGCAGATGACAGTAACGTTGGTCCCATCGGTTTCTTTGCATCCTTGTCAACAAGGGGATGCATTTTCAGAACGTTCTTTTTATACGTATCAAAATCATACATTTTTTCTGACGTTGCCCAGCATGTTTTGGATGTATAGTGGGACCAAGAAGGGCCATCACTTGAAATATTTAGACAAACCTTCCATTCCTTAGGAATTCAACTAATAGGGGCCTCACGCTGCTGTGCCCCTGCAAGATGCACTGAACTACTTAGTGCTGCTATTATTAATCTCAGTTGGGTCTCGCCTTGCTGGGAAGGTGAAAAGGAAAAGATGCAGAGAGGAATTAGCTTCAATTAGCTGAGTTAGCTATGCTTCAGAATGCTTCAGAGTTGAACTGTTGGTCTGCAGACATTTGGAAAGGGATTGGAGTATTTCCAAATGGCTGAGATGCGTTGGCATTTTTTTCTTGGGGAAAAAAAAATATCAAAAAATTAAGGTAATGAGTGAGATTTGGAGTCCTTCCTATCCCCATCAGAGTTTTATGTTCATCAGATTGCTGTTGGAGGCAATGTGCTTCAGGTCTGCCTTTGTGTCTCAGTCAGACATATAAGTTTTCTCAGTAAACGAGGTCCTGGGAGACAGAAAGGCAACTCCATCTTGTAACCAGCAGTTTCACTCCACAGCAAACCCGAGACAACCTGAAGGCTACCAGCACTGTGAAGCTTTAGCCCCCGAGCCAGCCACGGCTGATGCTGCCACGTGAGAGTGTGTCACAGCTGGGTGTGTTGGGCTCAGTATTTTCTTAAGACATAGACAATCTTGGTGTGATATTTATTTTATTCTTGGCAGGTGACGTGGGGAATTGTCAATATTGAAGACACATGCAAATGCTTCACTGGTCTGATGCGATAACAGCTTTGTTCCTTTCTTCACAAGGGTTTCCAGACCTATTCCCTCTCTGCCTTTCGACACAGCCATGCTCATCTAGCCCCCTAATTTCGCGTGAACTATCTTTGCAGACAGAAGGAGGTTTGTTGTTGTTCTCTCTCTAAATCTGATTAATGCCTGCAAAGTTCACAGGCTTTCTGTGCGCAGGGCAGAGCACCCCTGAATACAGCAATAATGCCAACCTGTTCCCATTTGCATTAGGAGTTTCTGCTTTTCTCACCTAAATGTGAGTTCACCTCTCCCAACATCACGTGCTACTGCTGTCTCTCGCCTTTTCTGTTGGCAGCAACTCTACGAGACTCTGGATATTCTCCTTTCCTTCCAACATGACACTCTCCTGTCCCCACAAGGCAGCCGAGATACAACTGGTGTGAACATAGGCAGCAGTTTATTAAGATGGGCAATTATGAAATGAGAGCCTTTGGCATGAGCCAGGCTCCCCTTTGGTTGTCTGATGATTGATCCAAGGAGGAAAGGAGCAACCAGAGCATTGTGGCTGAGCCCGTGGAGTCCCTGAAGGGATTATCCACCCTTCTCCTGGGTAGACCTACCTGCCCTGCCTTCCTGAGACCCACGGTTTGTGGGCATTTCTTCCAAACTGACCATCAGCTTCCATTCTCCAGCCACAGTTCTTCCTTCCTCCTGTTGGCAAAGCACAGCTCAGCTCTACCAAGGCAACACGAGGTGTTCAGAGTCACTGAGTGACATTTAAACTTGCCTGGGATGCCAGCAGGTCTTACTTAGTATTACATATGCTCAAAATATTATGGTTTGTTCTGCTTTTATACACAAAATCTATTACTTCTAGGCTGCAAAAGATGTTTTCTATCATTCCATTGACATTTTTAGCCGATCTGAGTCTTAATACAATTGCTTTGCTGAAAAATGGCCTTTCAGCAGTTCTTAGACATTAGGTACTTCTTTATTAACTACTGATGCCAAGTAAAATCTTCGGCCATTGTCTGTTCCCTGAATCCAGTGGAGCAGGAGGCTCTGGCTACTCAGAAGCAATACTGGTGTTCTCTTTGATAGAATATTAACATGGCCCACTTTTTTTCAGCTTCAATCTTGCCACAGCTGCTCAGTTGTGAGCATCCCTCAGTCCTGAGAGGACACGGGAACAGAGGAATCCATTTAGATGGCTGCAGGAGTGGAACTGTAGGATGTATGTAGTCTGTACACTGTTTCGCCTGTCAAAACCTTGCTTCAGGCTCTATTTGTTTGATGAATGGAGTGACTCCAGGGACGGGGTCTTCGGGATACTATGAGTTTGCCATGTTTCTCCAACTTTCTCCAGATTTAGTGCAGCAAAGCAAAGTGTCACACCCCAGGAAGGTAAAAGATTAGCCATACCCTGACACTTCATAGTGCTGGGCTTGTCCTACACAAAGTTGGTGTCTGCAAATGGCAGAAAGCAATAAGAAACTTGTCTAGCAAATAATTTATAGCAGCTTCATAAATGAATCTTCCCTTTTATTTCTTCCTTGTGAATTGCTGAGAAAACCAAGAAAAGGCCTCCAGTGTATTTGCAAGGTCGTTTCTGCATATCATGGGTGGTCTGGAGGGGTCTGGAACAGCTTTCTTATAATTCATATGTGTTGGCTTGTTCTGACTAGACATAGAAATCATGGGGGGTATTTCTGCTCCCCAAGTTCCCTCGGCTGGACTTTTCTCATGAGTACAAATATTTAGTTCAAAAGTATGTGATTAGGAATTGAGTAAGAGGATCCTTGCTCAATGCCAGTGGGCAGAGCGCCACTGGACACACACTGCTCCAGGACAGCCAAAGTGCTGGCTTCCAGCTTGCAATCCCCTTTCCAGGAATATTCTCTCACAGATGCTTGAAATTCTCTGCCTCTTCCTGTGTTCCTACCAGTTAATGCATTCATTTGAGTAATTACTGAGAGCAAACACAAGAAGGGTATGAACCCAGACAAAAACAAATTGGTATTAAGGTGAAGCAGGTGGTGCAAATTTTATTTGCAGTGTTTGCACGGCTCCTGGATGGGAAGGAAAAATCTCTCAGGAATCGGGGAGTCGCATATGGCTTAAGGTATCTTAGTCCTTCCCAACTGAATTGCCAGTCGGTAGGACAGCAAAAGGCATCTTTCCCTGCTGTTAGCCCTTCAAAACCCTTTTCTTTTGCAGTACGGCATCGCACAAATACCAGTGCATTTACCCCGCAATGTAAACTACATCTCAGTGCTGTGTTTTCGGTGCCTCACAACTCTCTAACTGTGTGAACTTGAAAGGAAAGAAATGCCCCCTGTTCTTCTGCCTGATCGGAGGATGCTGATCCCTCTTGAAGACTCACAGCTGCTTTTCCTGAAGTCTTACGCACAGTGGGACCAAAACTGTGCTCTGTGGTCGCAGGTGGCCTATAAGCTGTGCTCAGAGGTCTGTAGCTTGGCTACAGCCCCATGTTGCCTTCACAATGTTTTCAGTCAAAGCACGGTGATGAGACTGTGCGTAACTATCCCGGACTAATGCTAAGGATTGCCAACGGTCTGTGACCACCAAAGTTTGGGAGCCTCCATGTTAGCACATGAAAGCAGCTCCCATCATCTGTTTTTTGGGAAGGAGCCATCTCAGAGCAGGGTTTGGTGGAAAACTGCAGCAGCGCTGGGACCACACAGAAGGGAGCTCCTGGTTGGCTCTGTCCATAGGGATGGGAGCAGGGGAAGAGCTGTGACCTTTTAAAACCCATAGTGCCTACCACTGCAAACGGAACGCTGTATTGTATTAAATTATACGTGACTACCATGTAAATAAAGTACAATAAATGTGGTGTTTGTTAGGATTTTGATACAAGTCAAATGCAGTCTGCAGAAATG